GGTCCAATCATACTGTCGAAAATGATGAAGAGACATGTTTGAACTATAAGAGTGAAATATTATAACTCTTGATACGAAACCCATAGAAATAATAACAAATAGTTTGCATCTATTATAATAAATGTAAATCGTGCCATGAAGACTGAAATTACCAAAATTTATAAAAAGGCAAACTGCTGGAACTTCAGGTACCATAATTTGAAAATTTTAAATGCTTTAATTTCTTTTCGAAAACTTAAGGGGGTATTATTCTAGTGTAGAAATTAAAAAAAATCGATTTTTTTATTTCATATTTTAAAAGTTTAACTATCTAAGATTATGGGTACGAGAATGTTTTGAAAATTTGAATTATTTTCGGAGGTATAGCCATTTTACTGACTCGGTCTCCATACTGTTTGGCTTTACGCAAAACGTTAAATGCGTTTTTCTAAGAACAGACTTTTTCAGTACTGTTGCCATGATTTCTCGAGTTTTTAATCGACCGATTTACTTGAAATGTTCAGAGAGTCTTGTTTATAGACCTATCTATAGCCCGAACTAGGATTGTCCCCAAATTCCAATTTTTACTATTTTTAAAAAATTCGAGAAACTCAAAAAAACAGTAAAAAACTCTTTTTTTACTCAAACAGTCGCCAATTTGTAAAAAAAATCTTGTTACTCATCGCTAGTTCGGGCAATTACGACATCATTGTAGATTAATAATCTTTTTATTTTTTGCATTTCCGATGGCTAGGAAGCTGAAATCATGTCAAGGCTAAGGTGCTAATTTTTTAAGACCACCCACTTCATCAGCTGCCAGTTTTTTCAATTTTCAACTTTTTTATTCTTTGATTTTTGTTTTGTATTTTAATAATATTAATAAACAAGTGGTAAAAAAATGGGTAGTAAAAACATTCATTGCTTTCTTTTATGACACTTTAAAAATGACTTAAAATTAATCGTTCTACACTAGAATACCCCTTTAAAATACTGTATTTTTGAGAATTTCAAAAGTTTTGGAAGCGACCTAAGACAATTCCACATTTTTTAAATTTCGTTGAATGATATATTATGCAAAATATATGAAAAATTGTTTGATTTTGTCAGTATCTATGCAATTTGATGCATATTTAATTCTTTCATTTAATTTGGTGTTAGTCACAAATAAGTATTTTATGTTATGTATTATTATAATTGTATTTTTAAATACTTCTTTAAATATTTTTAAGGATGCGCAATAAAATAAATAAACTAGTGGTGTATGGCATCGTGCTTTAAGGCAAATTGCTATAACTTCCTGTACCGTAACGAAATGATCGAGAAATACTAAATGTTCTCATATAGATTAATATAAATAGGTACTGTAACATTGTCTAATATTTATAAGAATTATATAAACTGAATTGCAAAGTTGAAATTATTTGTTTAAAGTATATTAGAATTTTAGTTCGAATTAAAATTAAAATCTGAATTATTTTCGATATACAAAAAAAAATTTCTTGTAAAAAAATTTTGAAAACAAAAATTAGAAACAAAAATTTTTTTGTCCAAAAGCAATTATTTTGTTGAAATAAGCAAAAAGTTCTTTGAATAATTTAAATCGGACGCTTAGATTTCGCAAAAACTGCAATTTTTTGCACATTTAGCACTGTATCTTCAAAATGGCTGGACGTGCCTTTGCTAAAAACTAATCACTAATCTTTCAAATCGGATACTCCGTTCTCTCAAAAACTTGATTTGTATTTTCTGCACTCTTTGCACCCTATCTCCGTTACGGCTAGACCTGCCATTGCCAAAAACTAATCAGCACATCGCCCTATCAATAGGAATCGAATGTTTTTCAAATCGGTTGATCCGTGCGCCTGAAAAAGTGTACGAAAAAATTCGGACATACAAAACACACACACACATCCATTCTTTTTGGGGTAAGCCAAAATGTTCAGAAACCTTCAAAACGTCGAGAAATGCAAAAAATTTCATTTTCGATTTTCGGCCTATTACTATTACTACCCTACGGGAAGTTAATAAATATAAAATAAAAAGTATCTTGATTACTGACTAATAATGTTTCTAACTTAATAAATATTTATATTTAATGGCTATAAGTAATAAAATCATAGCGCGGCATGATGCCGTTGTACGCCATTTGCTCATTCCCAAGACTGAAAACGCATGTTTTTCCCAAATTATCGATTCAGCACAATTATTGTAAGTGAATATTATTGTGAACTAAGTCTTATGCATTTAAAAACAAAAACTAGAATGAGTTTGCAAAAAAATATTTTAATTAATGTACCTTGGTCCGCAATGCACGCTTTATGGTCAGCCAAATTGCATATTCACAGCACACTTTTTATTTTGAGATGCACACTTTTTTCACATATATTCAGATTTAATAATTAATAAACACTTAAACTATGTCTAATATAAAAGATAAATTATACAGGCGACGAAATAAACTGTTTCCGATTACGCAATAAAATCTGCAGGCTGTAGGTATGCCCGCACGACGACCTACACCATCGACTTTGTATCGACTACTACTGACCACCTGAATCTATATGATTTTTCGATAAATATTTTAGTGTTGCCTGCTGATAAGTGTTGATGAGTAGTACAAAATTCCTTTAATATGTGCAAAATAACAGATGTCGCACTGTTGGACACGATGAACACAAGAAAGGTCGTATGACAATGCAGGATCACAACAAATTGGTTCAAATGTAAACATTGCACTTTTTGAATAGGATTCATTATGATGCAATGGATGGTAATAGTGAATTTTGTATAATGACCTTAGATGTTCTTGAGAATTTAATATTGGTAGCTGAAACTTTCAGGGATTATTTTTTTTAACAATTTGAAGCCTAGGAGAAAAGAAATTCGAAAACATCCATATTGAGGACCACCCTAATACATACATACATATATATATATATATATATATATATATATATACATCTGTTTACATAATCTACTATTCACATTCATAAACTACTTTAGCATATTCTCAAACAGAGCAAATATTAATCTTTAAAGTTACTGAAATAAATTAGTAAACCCGCCAGACTGTTCGTTCAACAAGGATATTCCCATAAAGCAGGCATAAAGTTTTTATGTACGAAACACATAAAAAGTGTGTTCTAGTTTAATAACATAACTTTGGAATAAAATTAGATATCGCTCGAAGATTGCACCCGTAACCATATATACTGTATATAATATACTCATATAAGAAGACTTATGATATGTAAACATTTATAAATATACGAGCACTTCGTCCATTATATATATACAAAATTTCTGAAAATATTGATATGGGAATAACATGAAAAATGTAGTAAAAGAAAACTTTGAGGTTTTGATATGAATAATAAATTAATTATGACGAAAATGTGTTCTAGCAATTAATAAATCATTTCCGATATTTATTTATATAAAAATATAATTTTATAATAAAATATTTATATTAATAATAGAATGTTAGTTTTTAACTACCTGTAGGGTAGTTATAATAATCGCAAAAAAATCAAAAATTAAAATTTTTATATATGCTTACGTTTGAAAGGTTTCTGAACATTTTGGCACGCCTTAGAAAAAACTGTGTATGTGTGTGCGTATAGTTTGTGTGTATGTATGTTTGGATACAATTTTTTGTCAACGGTTTCGAGAGCATGGATAAACCGTTAGAATAATTCAAAGAACAATCGATTCCTATTGATAAAGAGACGTGTTGATTAGTTTTTGGCAAATGCAGGTCTAGAAGTTTTAAAGATACGGGGCAAAAATGGCAATTTAGTTTTTGAGAAAACAAAGTGTCTGATTTTAATGATTCAAAATCATTTTGCTTGTAGTGGCAGAATAAAAGAATTAGTTAAATTTTCGTGGAGGAAGGCCCTGGGGTTTAAGAGATCCATAGATAATAAATAAAAAAATGACATTTTACGCTCAAAAGAATGACATTAGCAATATTTGAGAGATATTAATAATATGTACAATATTTGTTACCATTTCTATGGGTTCCGTAACAACATTTGTAATGTCTAAAATTCACTTATAATAGATCAAACAAATGTACTCGACAATTTCTACAGTATTATTTAGTCTGTCTGAATGGTCTAAAATTTTCAAAAGATTACAAAATTTTCAAGAAGGAATGTTTTCAAAACATCCAAAAGTTTCAAAAAAATCTTAAAAAATTAAACATTTTTAAAAAAAGTTTTTTTTTTTTTAAAATTACAAAAAATCTCAAAAAAACATTTTTTTCAGTTTTAAAAAGTTTTAAGGCTTTCAAAAGCATCTATTTACACTTACAATTAGAAACAAATTTATATGATGATTATTTCCAAGTAAAAAAGTATATCACCATCATTATTACTATTCGCATACGTTTTTATTAGGATTTTAACCCTTTCCACTCGGATGCCGCTTTGGCGGTAAAATTCATATAAACCTCGGAATTCGCAAGTAGAAAGGGTTAATATTTTAAAGTCTGCTTTTGTAATATTCTTTATACTAAATTAAAAATAGAATTATTATATAGACTGCGGACGTAGAAAACCAAAATTTCAGAAGTTGTGGGATTTAACAAATTTATTTTCTGTGGGTATAACAATGCCTAAGCACATTGTGAAAAAACCCTGGCCGTTCGCAAACATCTTTGTTCAATTCGCTTAAATTATTTCAGTTTTTGTGTTCATCTTTGAGAAATTCAGTCATAAATCGCATGAACGAACAGGTCAATCCTCATTTCTATGGAGCTCGCCGATTCATTCCTGAGACTGTTATTCCGAAAACTCGCGCTCGCTGATAAATGACACCATGTTCCATTCCATTGTCAAACGAAAAGAGACGATTGTACAATACAGAGCAATTTTTGTTATGTAGGGTCAAAAAAATATTAGTTCGTCTTTTGATTAATCTAATAAAGTTTCTATTTATTTCCGACAAGACCTGTTAAAGGCATTGTGTGCGACATTTCTAGTGGGTGCAAAATCGTGGTACACAATATGTTATTTATTTATAAGTAATACTACATGTGACAGTACGTGGCGTAATTGTAAAACCAGAGTTTTGAAACTATTTATCTGTTTTAACATGAAAATATAGATCATAAATTTTGGAGTGTAAATCGTCGTCCCGTATAAATATATCGTCACAATGAGAAGTCTCAAGCAAAAATCACCAATGGATAATATTCTAATCTAGCAAATTGTTTATGGGGAACAATTTCTATATTTTTTTTTAGAAAATCATCAAAATATGTTAGTTAATTTTTTTAATTTTTTATAGTATCATTTTATTTTATTATTTATTATTATTATCTATTATTATTATTATTAATTACTATTTGTATGTTGTTATCTTTATTTATTCTTTTTTAGTTTATATATTTTAGCATAGCAGCTCATAGAATGTAATTACTGTTTTGATAGCTGTATAATAATAAATGAAAAAAAAAACACTCATCATATTATTGCGATTTCCAATTGAATTTTATTAAATTAATTATGTTGCACAAGCATGTGCTTGTATGTCCTAAAATTGTAGTAATTATTCCAAATTATTTTAATGAATCGACAATGTTTGACTTATCACATCACAAATGCGACTTTTAACACGATTTTTGCCTACGATATTTTTTTAAACTTTGAGGAATTTTTTAAATTAAACTACTAGTTGTAAGACCATAATATTTCAGTATGTTCTAAAGGACCATGATATCTATCGCCATGAAAATTGGCAATTTTTTTTCAACAGTTAATTACAATAAAACTGCTTGGTAGATCTTCACCTAAAACTAATCAAAATCATTCCCAACCAATATCTTTGAAACAGTTCATAATTTTTTAAAACCAATTCAATTTAAAATCATTTGATCTCATTTTATTCAGAATGGCTTAAAACGTCGAGAAGACATAAAATTAGAGAATCGGAATTTTTGATAAAAACAAAATTCTCCTTCGGGATGTTAAAGAACTATTCTGAATTATGTTATTATAATAATAAATAATTTAATTAGACTGCAGGAATTACTTTTGAATAATAATTTTTTGACTCTGTATTCTATTTTCAATAGTGTTTTATACGAGTTTCAACTATATAAATAACAAACAATGTATTTATAAGTTATTGGGATACAATTTGCTTGAAATAAGATATCATCTTAATCTATTTTGTATCGAAGATCTTACTATATACCAATGCAATAAGTAAAATTTCTCAGGTACCATTAGTTTTTCAATAAAAATTGAAATGGAAGTTATATTTGAAGCTTGGAAAATCCATTAATAATCATTTTGTGTACGAACTTTCATTTTCGGACTGAGGGAAATGTTTGTACTCACTAAATTTAATATTGAGAAATCTTTGTTCTGCTGCCTGAATGAATTGAAACAATAATCATTATCGTACGTTGCTTGCTATTATTATTATTTTTTTTTAATTTAAACAGCAATCAGAACCTAATAGTTATATAAGCTGTTGTGCTGACTTTGACTTAATACTAGTCTGTTTGATAGATGGCAACCCAATCAGTTGTCACTTCTCTATATATTATTATTACAGTTTCTGTAATAGAGCGAGTATTTTTTTTATCGATGCAGCAATGCTGGGTAAGGGCTATTTTTACTTGGAAACATATTACTATCTATATTTCCAAGTGAAAATCGTTGTCACTGCTGCCTGACAACAGGCTGCTCGAAGTGGGTATCGAACCCGGAACCTCTAAAACAAGTCTCGTCGCTCTTAACCGCTTACCTGCGGGCCAGCCCTGCTTGCTAAATTTTTTTTTAATGAAATCGATTCATGTTGAATTTAAAATGAATGTGTGCATAAAATCAAATAAAGTCTATAAAAACTCCATAAAGAAACTGATATAAAATTTAAAGTATTCACAAATAAAACAATATCCCATTCGATATTTTTATCCGAGCACAAACGCAATACTAATTCTATTGATTCGAACATAAAACAAATGTAGCGAATACTCCGGCGCACGAAGTTCTCTCAGCAGCCTCTGACCTTTCATATCGTCCGAGGCATAGACCTATACTACCTGGACTGTGCTTTCAATAAAAAAAAGTTCCAAAATGTTTGAAATAGACCTCCATATGACAAGCAGATAATTTGTTACATTCTGTAAAGATCTAAATGCGGATATATATTGTCCAGATTGAGCTTCTAATACAATTTTTTAAACATAAACGCATGCACCAAACATCTCAAGTAGATTATATATATATATATATATATATATATATATATATATATATGTTTAATTTTGAGTTTAATATTCGGGCGTAACATCAATAAAAATAATATGAGAGTTTTTTTTAAAAATTTATTTATTTAAAATCCATACGTTTCGGCTAGCATCTTAGCCATCATTCAGTGGTAATCAAGTTAAAATTTTGTATCCTAATATAGCATATGAAACCATTATAAATCCATGGTATGAGTATGTGCACATTGATAAGATATATATTTTTTAACACAAACATCACAAATGGTAAAACACAC